CCCCCCCCCCCCCCCGGACCTAGGGTGTGACTCTGCAGATGTGGGCGTGAGGGAGTTTGAAAACATCTAACTAGTGTATTAGGCAGGGCTTGGTGTAGAGGCATCGTGTGAATAGTGCAGACACAGAGATGTGGAGTAACACAAGCTAATCTGTTAGTGAGGGCTCCCCGTACAATGCGCTCCTGGTTTGCCTTTGTTTGGGGTTTGTATCATAATGAAACTGTCATGCTTTTTACACTATTGAGAGCTAAAAGAATCTTACATTACGCCTTATACTTTATATGTAGCTGACTTCAAAGATTATCATGTCTTGTATTCTATTACATTTCAGAGTTTTACTTTCCTCTAGATATTTGGACGTTATGTTGTGCCATATTGAGACACAGGGGTCATGAGGTTGCGTGGAGAGCACATTGTGACATTACTCTCTGCTTCTTCTGGTGACTTTTTTTTTTTACCAGTTTAGTGGCTGATTAAATACGGGTGTTGAAGAAGAGGGAGGCAACGAGGATGCAGTCGTGCAGACATTGACAGACATCTGGAATAACAAAGGGGAGACAGATGGGTGGTGAAGGGTGGAGACCAGGACTTGGCTTTTCTGTGCTTGAGGAGCTTATATGCAATCCAGCTGGAGACTTAAGGATCAGTTCAGAGGAAAGGGCAGATTAGAGACACTGATCTGAAATTCATCAGGGTCTAAATGGTATGATGGCATGGGAGGAGATGGCATTATCTACTGGAAGGGAAAAGAAAAGGGGGCTGAGGACTCAAAAAGGGAAACACGAGCATGGACGGCATGGAGAGAAGAGGAGAAACCCCAAGAAAGAGACAAGAAAGAGGAATCAGAAACACAGGAAGCGAGGAGCTTCAGAAGCCAAGGAGGGAAAGTGTCAAGAAGGATAAAGTGATCAACAGTGCAAATGACCCAGGACAGTCCAGAGGACGCTTCCAGGCTGGACTTTGCTGGGTGCTGGGACCCGGTCTCTACTGTCAACTCTGAGAGAGGATCCAGGGAGCAGGCCCACGCTCATGTTGAAGTCCTTAACCCTTCCTCCCTCGTCCTTTATCCTCCTCCTCTTCCTATTCCACCACCTCTTTCTCCTCCTCCTTCTTTCCCTCTTTTCTCTCTCTCTCTTTCCCCCTCCCTCCCACACCCTCCCCCCTTCTCTTTCTCTCTTCAGGCTTCTCCTAGGTTTTTATCTCTTTCCTGAGACAGCACACTGCCCTTACATCCTCCCTTCTCTTGGTTTATATGCTCAGTTCTCCAGGTTTTGCTTCCTTGAAACCTACAAACCTCCAGCAGCCACAAGGCGAGGAGACATGAAGAATACGTGAGATAAAATTTCAGAAATAGTGTTCTCCTACACATGTGAATATCATCTTTGAAGTTCCAGTTATGGGCCCAGAGTCATTCTATCTCCACCTACGATTACAGATCTACTAAATATTCAAATGGCCACTTTATGTCCAAGTTTGTGTGGAGCGTGGCACTTTCTTCTTTTGAGTCCACCTCCAAAGGACAGGGAAGAATGCGGATACTGGGTGTCATCTCCTCTTTCCAGAAGCTTGACTATGGAAGAGAGGAGAGGGAGAGGCTGTGGAATGAATGAGAATGAGGGAAAATGGAAATTTGATTTTTAGGATGAGAGGTCTTGATCATGTTTTGGAGGCATAGACAAAGGAGAGATGCAAGACAGAGGAGAGGGGTGCGAATCCTCAAAGCCAGGTCCCCAAAAGTTTGGAAGTGAGGAGACCCAAAGCCCAGAATTCGTTCTGAAGAGAAGAAAGTTTACAGAGGGAGCAGATGGAGAGGAGGATGTTTCTTGGTTTGGTTTGGTTTGGTTTGGTTTTTCCATTAGTAGCAAGTTTTTCTACAAACTTTCCATGAAGTGATCTTTGGCAAATCTGGGCTTTTAGCCAGCAGCTTAGCAACCCCAGCAGAGAAGGACCTTCTAGCACAATTCCCAAGGCAGGCTTTCATTGGCCTGGCCAGGGTTACATTCCCATCTCTGAGCAATCGCTGTGACCAGAGTATAAGAGGCTTTCATTAGTCAGGTCTGGGTCACATTCCTACCCCTAGAACCAGAGGTGAGATCACTGCAACTCAGGCTATATGGACAAGAAATGGGGGAAGAGTGGGCCCCAGAGGAAAATTGGGGTGCTGTTACTGAAAGGAGCAATGGATGCTGGGATAGCAAAAATAACAGATGTTCCTAACAGAGGGTGACGTGCTAGTAGCTCTGGCAAAGGGCAAGATGGAGCCCAGAGTGTGACCTGTCCTCCCTCCCTTGGCTGCAGTGTGTGGGATCCCCAAGTTCTCCCGGAATCTGATGGCCAGGATCTTCAATGGACGCCCAGCCCAGAAGGGCACCACCCCATGGATTGCCATGCTGTCACACCTGAATGGGCAGCCCTTCTGCGGGGGCTCCCTTTTAGGTAAGGTGAAGGTGGAAGGGGTGGGGGACCCAGGGTTAGAGGTTAGGGTAGAAGGAAAGGGACCTGACCCTCTTCCTGGAGACGGACAAGATTTCTTCACTGAGAATCTTCCACAGTAGTAGCGGGACCCAGAAGTACAAAGTGGCAGAAAGAAACCTTAGCTGGAGCCAGGAGACATGTGTTCTGTTCTAGCTGGCTCCTTCAGCCAACAACACTTCCCGAGCCCTGGTCATTCTCTGGCACTGAGAAGGGTGAGGGAGTCACACCCTTAAACATGGATTACAACACAAGGCACTTACATGCGGCTCAAAGTGAGGGTGTGCCAGCGCCGTGGGACCAGGGGGAGCCAGGAAACCCACCCTAGAGGAGTCAGAGAAGGGAGATTTACAAAGCCTTGAATGCCATGCTTGGGAATTTAGATCTTTTCTTGAATGCTGCTCCAGGTTTATAAGCATGTTCTGGAAAGTTCTCTCCTGAGACAGCATGGATTGAAAGAAGGGTGAATCTGGAAGCCAAGAGTCCAGTGAGGCAGCTATAGTGCAATAGTGGGGAGGGAAGTCATTAGCCTCAGAAAAAGGACAGGGGCTGAGGAATAGAAACCAGACCGATTCATAGCCATTGAGAAATAAGATTGTCAGAATTCTGTAATGGACTGAATGTGATTGGCAGTGGGAGCAAAGGCAGGCAAGAAATGATTGATGGCTCTTCCTGCCAGTTTAGTCCAAATGATCTAAGGTCCATCCCAGCTCTGACATCATAATAAAAATTAACAGCAATCTAGAGTCCCTCTGACCCTATCACAGAGGAAGAAGGCATGGATGGGTCCACTTCTGCCTGGGCAGCTCTGGGGCTGCCGGTCTCGCCTCACGCTGACCCACCCTCCTCCTCCAGGGTACACTCAGGTGAGGACAGCTCCCCGACCGGGATCCCCGAGGGGAGGCGCAGGCTCCGGTGAGACTGCAGTCTGGACATCCCCGAGGTGTGTGAAATGGTAACCCAGCAGAGGGTTTGATCCTTATATTCCTACAAACACAAAGATGAGTGGTCTCCCCTATGGAGCCTCCCAAAGGGGCACAGAGAGTGAGCACAGGTTAAAGGGGAGCCCAGTGGGGAGCAGGCAGGGGAGAGGACCAAGAATGAGAAGGGGCAGAGAGACAGAGAGAGGGCTTAGAAGGACAAGGACAAAGATAGAGAAAGAGACAGAGAGACAGAGGGCATATGAGAGAACTAGAGAGGGAAGTGAAGAGAAATTAAGGGGAAAATGAAACAAATACAACCGGAGGAAGGGAAACTGGTGGGGCATGAGACGAGAGAGAGAGAGAGAGAGAGAGAGAGAGAGAGAGAGAGAGAGAGAGAGAGAGAATTGTGAAAGGCATAGGAAAGCAGGGAGGACCCAGAAAAGAACGCATCAGAAGAGAAGCAAAGAGAGGGGAGGAGCCGGCAGGGAGAGCAGAAGGAAGCAAAGACATTTCTGGTTTTTTTAGAATGTAAGTAAATAGATGGATTACTGCCCACGGTTTTTAGAGTTAGATTAGTTTTCTGAAGCCTTGAGTGTTTAAGTTCAATGATGTTCAGCACTCACTTATGTCTACTGCGTGTTTATTCCCACTTCTCTACCCTCAGCCAAGCTACAAGATCTGACTTACCCAGCCCTCCCCACAGCTCTCCTTGTCTATAATCTCTCTCCTCCTCTGTTGTCTAGTTTTGTAGAGAGAGGGAAAGACAGGAGAGGGCAGAGGAAGCAGGGAAGAAGCTGAGGGACAGACAGAAAGCTCCTGCTCAGTGCCCACCCTAAAGCCTGGGTTCTGGCTCAGGGACTCAGTATTTGCAGAGCTGCGAGGCAAAGCCATGTCTTTGGACTCAGCACTGCATACCCCAGGTTCATCTAAATGGCCCAGAGCCCCGGTCCAAGGCAGGCTCCCTAATCTGGGTACCTCATCCCACTTTACCTACCTGGAAAATTAGTCAACAGCCCCTGGCTGTGGACAGGGATCAAAAATACCACTGGGGAAAAGAGGGCGGCCTGTGTGGAGCTCTATCCAGAAGCCAGTAGCCAGGGAACATAGCTGCTCCTGAGAGGGCCAAGTGGAGCCTGGGACCTGCTCCAGAAAGGGACTCTGCCCTGGACTCTATACTTGGCCCTGATACCCCACCCCAAAGCCCTGGTGCCTTTCTTTCTGCGTGGCTCAACCCAGCATGTCTCTGGCCTCAGCTATTTATGGGTTTGTCATCTGTTCCACCTTAAGGATGAACCGAAGCCTGACCCCATGTTGAGCAAAGGGCAGGAACCTGTCCATCAAGGGAGAAAGACAGCCAAGATGCAAGAGATGTGCTCAGCTGGCCATCAGGAGACCCAGGGTCGGGCCCTGGCCCTGCCACCAGCTGCAGATTTGCCCTAGACATCCTCGCCCTCCTCCAGCCCTCAGAATCCATGTCTATACAATGAGAGGTTTGGGTCAGAGCAGTGGCTCTCAGCCCTGATGGCAGTAGAATCATCTGGGGGCACTTTTAAAGTGTATTTGTACCTGTGCCTCACTCCCATGACATAGATGGTCTGGCTTCAGGCCCAGGTACTATTTCTGGGGATTTGTTTGCTTGTTTGTTTTTAATTCCCCAAGTGATTCTAAATGTGCACCCAAAGTTGAGAAGAACCACGTACAACGGTGCTTTCCAAACTTTAATATGCATAGAAATTACTTGGAGATCTTATTAAAACCCTCAGATTTTACTACTGAATGCAGATTCTGATTCAGTAGAGGTATGGTGGGGCCTCAGAGTCTGCATTTCCAAGAAGCTCCCAGGGGAGGCTGAGGTTCCTGGTCCAGGAACCACGCCTTGAGCAGCAAGGCCGGAGGGGCAGCCAGTGAGCACGAAGTTTCTTGTGGACACCTTGGGCTGTCCGGAGCTCGCCAACCCCCTGGGTTTAAGGGAGACCTGAAATCATCTTTAAAACATTCAGTTTGGGCCTAGGTTGGATAAGGCAGATGAAATCTCAGATTCAACTCCCCATCTTCAGATTAGGATCATATGCGTTTCTGCCTTGAGGCTGTGAAATGCAAGGGAGAGGGGTGCCATGGAGAGGAGGGGTCTGAAAGCCCTCAGCTTGAGGCTGTGGGAAGCAGGATGGGGCCGTGAGGACAGTGTGTGTGTACAATTCTGTTCTCAGGCTCCAAATGGATTGTGACCGCGGCTCACTGCCTTCACCAACTGCTGGATTCAGAGGACGCAACCCTACATGGCTTGGACCTGCTCAGCCCCTCTGCTTTCAAAATCATCATGGGTGAGTGCGGAGCAAGGTGATTCCTGCAGCCGGCTGTGGGTCTGTGGATGGGGTGTGTCTACTCACTCACTCAATCATCAGGGAAGGTGCCTGGGATGAAGGACGAGCCGGGACTGGAGGCCAGGGACCTGCATCTAAGCCCAAGGCTGTGATTCTCAGGTGGTGGGACCATGAGCAGGTCATTGAAGGTGAAGCCTCAGTTTTTATAATAAAGAGCCTCATCTGGATAATTTCCAAAAGTGCTTCAGGCTTCTGTGAGTCCGTGGTTTCAAGTGGATCATACACAAACAATCCAAGCTTCCCCTCTCCTCTGTAAAATCAAGACCACCGGCTGATTCAGTTTAGTTCACCACATATTTATGTCCTGACACTATGCCAGCCTATAACTACACAAGTTCCTGCCCACAGGGACTTAGAGTCTAATAAAGGAATAGAATGTAAGCACAGAGACCTCGAATATAAAGTAGGAAACAGTAAGTTCTATAGGAGAGGAACAGATAAAGGACATGGGAGTTCGTAGGGAAGAGATTTCTAACTGAAGAATCTAACTCAAGACTCTGAGAGGTTTCATGGAGGGAGGCAACACATGACCCAGGCAAGGAAGGCTTGGACATATGGCAGTGGGCACTGGAATGAGTATTACAAGGCAGTGGGATCAGATCATGAAGAAAGACAGAGGTCAGAGCCCTGAGAATATGTGGAGAAGGGCAGGTAGGATGGGATGCCTTGAAAAAGGTAGATGAAGGGCAGGCAGTATAAGGGTTAAGGCTGGAAACATGGGCTGAATGGGGCAGGGGCTGACAAGGAACAAGGGGCGACCTTATCCTCTAAGCTTGCGTGGCCCTCATACCTCACACGCCGCCTTCTTTCCCAGGCAAGCATTGGAGGTACCGGCCAGATGAGAATGAACAGAGTCTCAACGTCAAACAAATCTTCCTCCATCCCCTGTATAACCCCAACACATTTGAGAATGACGTGGCTCTGGTGGAGCTGTCGAAGAGCCCGGTGCTGAATGACTTCGTGATGCCCATCTGTCTGCCGCAGGGGCCACTGCAGGAAGGTACCACCCCCACCTCTGATTCCACATCTGCAGAGCACCTGGTGCCTCCAGCATTGGTCGGGCTCTGGTGCCAACTGAGCCAGCTGACCATGTCTGTGTGATTCCTCAGCTGCCTCCCCTAAGACAGCTGAGTCAAAACTGGTTCCAAGGTAAACAGGCAGGCTTGATCAGCACTGCAAGCACTATATGAGTCAGGGTCCAGATAGGAAAACAGAAACCAGACCAGTTATTATATCAGAGAGAATTTAATATAGGGTATTGGAGGACTGGAGAAGTAAAGGGGGATGCTGAGATAATAGAGATAGCACTTGCAGGAAGAAACCACCACTCCTGGGGCTGGAGGAACAAAGAGAAGTTGGAGATATAGAACCTAGAAGCTTGACAGGGACCTGTGAAGCAGGAACTCAGACGCTGCAAAAGAGGCCCTGTGCTGATGGTGCTAGGGAGAACAGCTGGAACCAACTGCCACTGCTGGGGTGAGGAACCATTGCTAGGGTGATGCCAACAGGAATGGCAAGCCTTCCTGGAGGTTCCGCCTATTTTCAGCAACACCCCTGACAAAGCAGATCTGCCATTTCAGAGTCTCATTCGCAGCATCACAAAGCAGAGCGTAGAAGGGTACGTTCGGAGCTGAGAGACAATAGCTTAATCACCAGCACAGGCTCAAATCCCCATGCTGCCATTTCCTAGCTGGGTGACCTTGAGGAAGTTGCCAAACCTCAAGCCCCTTCCCTCTACACTGGGGATAATATCCCATGGGTGGGTGTGATGTTTAAATGAAATAATCAAACATATCCAACATAGAGTGAGAGTCCAACCCAGGGCAATTGGCTTTTGTTTCATCCTGTTCTAAATGGAGTGGTGCCATGTCACAGATAACCTCGTTTAGTTCAAGGAAGTTATTTTTTAAAATGGTTGAATGGAATCTGAGAAGTATTCAGGGGACGTAAGCCAACAGGAAAGGCACAGGTATGGCTCTGATTCATCAGATGCCATGCGCCTACCATGTGCCACTTGATTTACATTAATTAATTTATGTACTACTTATAAAAGCCTTGTGAGCTGGTATTGTAGTCCCGTTTTCCAGATGAGAAGACAGGCTCAGCAAGGTACAGTGACTTACCCAAGTAAGTCAGCTTGTAAGCAGTAGATCTGGGGATAGAATTCAGATCTTCCAACTTAAAGCCCAATGTTGTTTTCAGTATCCAGGCTCTTTTACAAATGAAGAGATAAGTGTTCTATCAGTGCTCAACCCATTTCCACACTGCCTTGAGAGCTGCCAACTTCACAGACTTCTAGAATATCAGAGCTGGGAGGGGTTTTAGAGAATACCAAGTCCAGCCTCTTCATTTTATGGATGGAGAAACTGAGACTCAGAAGGGGAGGGAACATAGCATATTGTGGGCTAAGCTGGACTTTGTATTTATTCAGTTATTGATTGAGCATCTACTGTGTGTCAGCACTGCTGTAGGCATGGAGATACAGCGCTGAATAAGATATATGAGATTACTGCTCTCATGGAGTCTAGGTTCCAAGCTAGTTGGGAGTGGGAGAGAACAGGCAACTAAACAAATGAACCAGCTAACGTCTCATAGAAACAAATGCCTAAACCTCTGTCGTGGGTAACCTTCAACCCAGCAGTCTTCTCCCCCACCATGCTGCTATTCTCTGAGGGGGCAAACTCAGCCCTTCCTCCACAGGCAGAGGATGATGGGGCTGCAAGATGTCACCCTCTGAAAACCCCACAGACAGCCTCTCTGCTCTCACTGTGTCTTCTCTCCTCCAGGGACCATGGTCATCGTCAGTGGCTGGGGGAAGCTGTTCTTGCAAAGGTTCCCGGAGACCCTGATGGAGGTGAAGTTCAACTTATACCCTTCAGAGGGTGACACCTCTGCCCTACATTGGACCTTTCTGCACCATAGTGCCCCTTAGGGGGTTAGAGGCTTCGGCAAGGGGTGGGTGAGAGAGGTACCAGGGGCCCAAACTCACCTTCAAAGTTAAATGAGACTGAATCCCAACTAGTTTGATCTGTCTGTTCTACATGTCATAGGGCTCTAGTCTCTAAACATTGCTTAATGTTTCTGTAGCTTATTAAAGTCTCAATTTACGGAAATTCTTCCAGAAAACAGCCGGCTTGGACTCGCTCAAAGGTGATCCATCTATATACATCATGAAGATTCACATAACAGAGTAACCAAGAATGGGCCAAGGAATGGGCCTTGAGAGCTGCAGTCATTGTAGCAATGAACTTGACTGTTGCATTTAGAAGTTTACATCCCTGTCATATCAGAAAAGAACACTGAACCAGGAGTAAGGAGCCATGGCTCCAAGTCCTGGCTCCTAGTAACCTGCTGTGAGATCTTAAACGAGTCATCTTGCCTCTCTAGACCGCAGTGTAGTATCTCAAGCTGCAAAGTCAGGGGCAACGCTAGATGTCCTCCGGGAGCTGCCTGGCTCGGACATTACCAGGTTCCACGACTGCCACAGCTAGTCTCTAAACCCTTCAACATGCATTATTTTAGCGTACTTTAAAATTCTGGATTGGCAACAACAATTTAGCCCTTCAGTCGTTAACTCTAGAGTGTTTATTCGGTGCCTCCTGTGTACCAGACATTGTATTAACTACTAGGTATGCTGGGAGGTAAGAGGACAGATCTGGCCCCTGGCCTCCTTTGGCTTACAGTCAAGTGGGATAGACAGAAAGTAGTTATCGATGTCATCAATGGAATGAGGAAGAGGTGCAAGATGCTCCAGAATGTACAGCAGGGGCTCTGACCTTGTCTTAGGGGTACAGAAGGGCTTCCCAGAGGAAGTGACACTTAAATGATGCGTGAGCGATGGATAGAGGTCGGTCAGGCACTCAGCAGTTTGCTGAGGACACGTGCTCATGACCACCCTGCCTGACTTCCTCTCGCCACGTCTCTGGGAAGGCCGTGGCCCCAAAGAGACCTGAATGCCTCTCGTCCCCTCCCAGCAAGGGCCAACAGGAGTTGTGCTTTTGCGGGGAGTGTGACCCATTCAGTTCTTGGTTTGGCTGAATGAAACTCATATACTTCCTCTTTTTATTCTAGACATCCATTCCAACGTTTATCCCCAAGCTGAATCAAGGGCAGTAATAATCACAATACCTTACTTTATGTATCAGTGTATCACCTCAATTCAAAGTAACATTTCCTGAGTACTGACCATGTTCCAAGCTATGTGAGATAGAAATGGACAACATACAGACCGACTGTCTGGAAACTCACACTGTGGTGGGGGAGAACGTAAGTGAATGCTTGCTCCTAGGTGAGCCTCACTAACCCTACACCACCTACTATTTATGCAGTGTTTGTAGTTTACAGAATATCTGCTCATTCATCTCCTCTTTGCACAACAACTCTGTGCGGTTAGTATGTCAAATATTGTGACTCCCATTATTCAGCTAAGGAAACAGAGTCTCAGAGATCTGAGAAAACAGTGGTGAAGGCTACGTGCCCCAGGTCCCACAACCAATAATGGTAAGAGTGAGGAAAAGAAGACTGCCCATAGGTTTTGCATACACTGCCATATTTGAGATAATGCATGTGCTAGGCAAGTATTACTATCTCCATTTTACAGATGAGAAAACTGAGGCCCAGAAAGGGCAAATGACCTGTGCAAGGTCACACAGCAAGTTCATGACTAAGACTGTACCAGAACATGGATCTCCTGATTCTGCATTCAGTGTTCCTTCACCTGTACCATAGGTAGTTTCTGAGGCCAGGTCTAAGGCAGACCCAGGCTCATCCAGGAAGGGGATGGGGATGAGTCAGCTCTAGGGGTGTCAGAGCAGCAGGGCTCCTCAGCCAGGGGTGGGGACCAACAGTGGCCTTGTGTTCCAGATCGAAATCCCAGTTGTTGACCACCGCATCTGCCAGGAGGCCTATACCCCACTGAAGAAGAAAGTGACCAGAGACATGATCTGTGCTGGGGAGAAGGAAGGTAAGTCAAGAGGCCGGCGTACAACAGGACACCACCAGCCAGGGAGGGGAGCCAAGCCTGGCAGTGAAAGGACTGGAGACCTTGGAGCTGGCAGGCTGAGCAGTGGCGGACAGGCAGGAGTGAGGCGGGGGAGAGGGAGGATTCCACTGAAGAAGCTGCATCGGAGAGAAGGGGGCTAAGTAAGGAATTTCCATAATTCCCTTCTCCCAGCCCAGCTTTTTCCTTATGAAATGAGAGAGTCCTAACCTGTACCTTCTAAAATCACTGAGGTCTGAGGAGGTCCGACCTACAACAGCTCAGAGTCCAATGGTCTACTGCGCCCCCTGGTGCCCGATTCTCTGAACTACAAGGCAGTTGTGGAGAGAAGGAGGCTTCTCTGGATTGGGGGCTAAGGGAAGGAGACGCTTTAACCTGCCTCACTTCTTCCTCTAGGCGGGAAGGATGCCTGTGCGGGTGACTCTGGAGGGCCCATGGTGACCTTGGATATAGAGAGAGGCCAATGGTACCTGGTGGGCACGGTGTCCTGGGGTGTGGACTGCGGAAAGAAGGACCGTTACGGAGTGTATTCCTACACCTTCCACAACAAGGACTGGATACAGAGGGTCACCGGGATGAGGAATTGAATTCGGTTCCTCACCGTCTTCCTCACATGTCCATATGGTCAGTCAGCAGCAGAGGATGGTTATCTGATGCAAGATGCCCCTTGCCCTACACGCACCTCATTTGGCCCATCTATTACTGGCCAATAAAGGGGGCATCTCAGCCCCCTTCTCAGTCTCTTTAAAGCAGCAGAGTAGCAGGGTGGTCAGAATCCAGGTTGTATCACCTACTAGCTTTGTAACACTGGGCAGGTGACCTCACGTCTTTGAGCCTCAGTTTCTTTGTCCGTATTATGGAAATGGCATACCTTACCTACCTCATAAAAGTCTGATGAGGATCAAATTTAGTTAATATACATATAGCATGTAGCACAGTGCAGGCATAAACTAAGTGCTCAATAAATATGACTTAGCAGAAGGCCGGTGTGTCTAGCAGGCACATTACATTCTCTTACAAATCCTGGCTGGGCCTTAGGGCTGACCAGTGTGCACCGCTCCCCTCAACCTTGACCATCTCCTTCACCTGCCCCCGAATGCTCCATGCTTCTTTACTACCATGCATTTCCCATCCTCAATCCTCCCCATAAAAAGGTAAAAGAGACAATGTTCTTAGTCTATGGCATGTCCCATAGTGAGGCCCTTATGACCATGAGCTGGATACCAAACTGTGAGAGTGCCTGAGAGAAGCAGGCACTCTCACAGGGTGGGGAGACTGGGAATGGTGAATTAGGAAGTCAGACATCAGGTTCTAGAACCAGCTCTGCCCGCAGCTCCCTGTGACTCTATGCAACTCCCTTCCCCTCATCCCAAAGGACCCTCCCAGCTCTGACAATCTAGGATCCAATGAAGCCATTTCTCCCTGAAGAGATGAGTTAAAGCCAAAATAACCAAAAGGCAAAAATTGCCTTAGGTTCAATAGAGCTTTGTTGCAGACCAAACACTGCTGCTACTGCAACACCCACCCCTGTGCACCACACCCTAGTTCCCAAGGACATAGCCCTGGCGAAGTGCTAGCCAAGGGACCTTTCCTTATTCCCAAGCAGAGCCTCTGCTCTAGGCACCGGCCTCCTTTTCTTCCTGGGAACCAGAGTTGCACAAGGTAGGCCCTGGGAGGCTAGACTCAGGCCCCTGCACTCTCCCTCCCTGTGTCCACAGGTGACCCCAAGCCACCATTCCCCTGGTTCCTCACCCCTGTTCTTCACCCTGAACACCCCAGCCCTGCAGGGTCATAAGTGCTTCTCAAACAGAATGCCTTTCCTCTCCAAGAGCCACCTCCTCTCTCAGGAAGCTTCCTCCTCCCCTCCAGAGCGCTGAGATTTAAGCCCTTCAAGGGATCAGAAGCCCCAAGTCCCTGGCTTCTGTTCTATCAAAATTGGTCTTCATGGGAGATTTCATTTCTCAACCTGCACTGCAGCTGCTGGAGTTGTTCAGGGTCTCTTGCTGAAAGAAGATGATACTGAGGAATGAGAACTTATGGACACTAAGCCCTAAGCTCACCACTCAGGGGTGGCAATTCACAGCCTGCTTTTGATTCTCTGAACAAGTCATTCTACCTCTCTGTGCCCTGCTGTTTATTCTGTAAATGGAAGATGGCAATCATACTCAATCTCACCAGACATTTGTCAAGCAAACTGGAGCTCTATTTCAGACACCAGAGAAGAATTGCAATGCAAAGTTTTGGAACTGCCCTTAGGCATTCCAAACACCATGCTTTCCAATTTCACAGCACTGCCTGGGTGCCCCCACGTGCCAGGTTATGCTGACTGCTATGCGGACCACCAAGATGAGGGGAACATGATTCATACCTTCCAGGAGCTCCTACAGGAAGAGCTGACACACACACAAGTGTCTATCATGAACAGAATGAACCCCACCAAGTGCTATGTGTCAGAATAGCACAGAGGTGAAAGAAAGGCCATTCTAGTCTGGAGACGTTGGAGGAGGGGGCATCAGGAAGACATCCCAGAGGAAATGGTGTTGGAGCTGAGCCTTGAAGAGGGTGGGCATTTCCACAGGTAGGACAGAGGGAGGCCTTCCAGGTAAAAGTACAACAAGAGGCCATGTCCACTCAGGCTTTCCTCAGATTACACTCTCTTCCCTCACAAAAAGGACATGTCCAGGGCTTCCCTGGTGGCGCAGTGGTTGAGAGTCCGCCTGCCGATGCAGGGGACACGGGTTCGTGCCCTGGTCCGGGAGGATCCCACATGCCGCGGAGCGGCTGGGCCCGTGAGCCATGGCCGCTGAGCCTGCGCATCTGGAGCCTGTGTTCCGCAATGGGAGAGGCCACAACAGTGAGAGGCCCGCGTACCACAAAAAAAAAAAAAAAAAAAAAAAAGGACATGTCCAGCAGACCAGTGCTCTGACTCCGGGATCAGAGCCAACATCTAAAAGAAACTTTCTCCTTAAAATCAGACAACTCTGAGACTTGAAGCAGCCTCAGAATTTGTGTACAAATACTGACTTCTGGCTGGACCCAGTTTATCCTGTTTATTCCCCCAATTGCAATTTCATCCTGATTCTAAGGGATGTCTAGATGTGCTGCTGGACTTGGGCTTACCCTTGATCTACAAACATTTACTAGATGTACCAGCCCCCGCACTGATGCTAAGGTCCAAGAAAACCAACTGTCTCACAGAGTCATAGAAGCAGAGGGTTGGAGTGTCTGTTAGGACCATATTGTCTAACTCTATGACCTCGTTCTTGAACATATCTAAAGATGGGAAACTCACTACCTCCAAATATAGCCAATTTCAACCTCAAAACGTGCTCTTAGAAAGGTCTCTTCTATACAACCAAAATCCACCTCCCAGAGTATACTTAGCATATCTAAAGCTATGATTCCGTACCATGAATGTTGTTATCAGCAATAATGACCGACCATGCCTGATTTCATTAGCAACAGAAGCTGTTGCTCTACATGTGTAGCTGTAACTACACATTACTTCCAATAAACATCTGTATTGAGTCAAAGCATCCTGTTTGGCTTGTATGTTTTTCATGTACTGATAGTTCTGGTGAGTTGTGTTTTCGTTTATCAACATTTCTCTGTATCCAATTAGGATCCCTGAACCATGAAGAGAGAGAGAGAGATTGTTGGGAAGATCAAATTATCGATACAAAAGCACTTCTTTGGCTTTTCAGGTCAGTTCTGATTAAATACCTTGTTCTATTGTTCCTGTAAGTTATCAAAATATCCCAGGATACCAATCTTTCAGTATCCAAATTGTATTTCTGGATTGTCACCCACACCTAGAATAGAAAAAACATTTTTTTTTCGGATCATGTGTTCACTTGTTTGGTTCAGAAAATATGGCACCAGGTCCATGAGTAGCCTGCTCTGAATTGGAGTATGTACTTTCCTTCTGCCATGAGTTAACCTTATTCCCAGGTGGCAGGAATCAAAGAACCAGCAACACTAAGAAGTCCTTCAAGTAAAGGTAGGCAACAATCATGGAAGGAAAATCTATATCCCTCATGCAGCAGAGACGGTGGCCAATCTGGGTCCAGTATGGGACATGAAATCAAGAGACTTAGGTTCTCATGCAAGCATATGTTGACTTCTTTATCCACTTAATTTCTCCATCTATAAACTGGCAGAAAAATCTTTGCCCTACCCCTGTCTGAGGGTTGTTGAATCAGATGAATTAGCATATAGGAAAGAACTTTGGAAACTAAATTAGCTCAAAATAAAAAGGTCTATGGGAAATAATCACTAAAATACTTTTGAGTATTCACCATATGATTGAGACCACACTAAGCTCTTACACAATTCTCTAATTTAGTCCTCAAAATAATCTATGACAAAAGTACTATTATTATCCCCATTTTACAACTGAGCAAACTGAAGCAGGGTGAGGTGAAAGATGTGGCTCTACCTATAGACACAACAACACCCCAGTAGCAATGAGCACACGTATTGTCCAGATTTTTGTTTCTAATACTATTCTCCAATAAAAGAAATAAGGGCTCCTTGAAGACACGGCTGATTCTAGGACCAGGGCAGGAAATATACAAGATGATACAAAAGTATCTGGTACCAGAAATTAAGTAAGTCACACAATGATGGGGGTGTGTGACACAGGAACCAACAGGAAGAGCCCCAATGGTAAAAGCTGGTATAATTTGAGCAGCAAAATATTACTGGATTATAACTCAAAGTATAGAATAAATACCCGTAAATGTATACTTATATGAATAAATAACTGAATAAAAAAATAGAGGAGAATAAAAAATAATTTATGTAAACACTTTGCCATAAAGCAGGTAGAACATTACTCCCCATCCCTTAAGTGTGGGCTGCATATAGTGACCTCTTTCTAAAGAGTACAATATGGAAATGGGGTGAGGGGAGAGCCGCTTTTTAGAGGAGAAAACCTGACAGAACGTTGCCTCAGCCACATGAGCACAGCTAATATCAACAGAGATGAGTCACACTGATAGTTTGTGACCTTGATATGCTGTGATGAAAATGTTGCTGTACCTCTGTGTTCTACCTCCCCAGATCTTATAAGCCCACTCTAATCCTGAGAAACATATCAGAAAACTCCCAATTGTGGGATATCTTACACAATACTTGACCAACACTCCTCAGAACTTTGGAGATCATCAAAAACAAAGAAAGTCCGAGAAACTGTCTCAGCCAAGAGGAACCTGTAATAGGTTGAACTGTATCCTTCAAAAGATATGCTGAGGTCCTAACCCTCAGTACCTCCAAACAGGACCTTATTTGGAAATAGGGCCTTGCAGATGTAATTAGTTAAAACAAGGTCATACTGGAGTAGGTGATGACTGGTGTCCTTAAGAGAAGATGAGATACAGAGAAACAGACACATGCGGGCAGAACACAATGTGACGATGGGGGCTGAGATTGAAATCCCACAGCGGCAAGCCAAGGAATGCCAAGGAATGCTAGTTTCAGCAAACTAGCAGAAGCTAGGAACAGACAAGGAAGGATTATCCCCTACAGGTTGCAGAGAGAACATAGCCCTGCCAACTGTGAGACAGTACATTTCTGTTGTTTTAAGCCACCCAGTTTGAGGTGCTTTGTTATGGCAGCCCTTTATGGAAACTAATACAGAGCCTAAGAAGACATCTTTAGATGACATCCTGGGACAGAAAAAGGACATTAGGTAAAAACGAAGGAAATCTGAATAGTTAAGAATAATATATCAATACTGGTTTATTAATTGTGACAAATGCACCATACTAACATGGGATGTTAATAACAGGGGAAACCGGTGAAGCGTATATGGGAACTTTCTCTATCATCTTCACAACTCTTCTAAAAACTAAAAGTATTCTAAAATTAAAAGTTTGTATTTAAAACAGTGTGACCTAAGATCTTGCAGCTAGGAGATTAGGGGCACTGGGATTTGAAACCAGTTCTGATGGACTCTGGAGCCCAGGCTCTCGCTCCACTGGTTCTATACCAGTGGTTCTTGAACTAGGCAGCACACAGGAAACTCCCGGTTTAAAATTTGTTAACCACCTTAAAGAAATACTGATGTCTGGTTCACCACCTCCAGAGACTCAGATATAATCAGTCTGGAATAAGGCTGAGCCCTGGGGGCTTAGGGGTGGTAGTTAAAATTCCCCCAGGTGAGTCTAATGTGCACCCAGTTTGAGACGCACGTTTCCAGGCTGTCCTGCTCGTGTGTGACCCCTGAAGAATGCTGGGAGCCTTTATTTCCCAAGCTTGGGTGTTTCGGCCCAGGTCATGCTTCTGGTGAGAGGCGGAGGAGAGGCAGGCACCCTGCTGCTCTAGCCCTAGATCCAGGAGTTTTC